CACAGTACGTTCGACAAGTGCATGTACGGCCATGCGATCGAGGGCAGCACGACCATGGTCAAGAAGCCGACGACACTTAAGACGACCAAGAAGCTCATGGCAGCAGTACTCAGCGAGCGAGCGATGCGACCGATCACATGGACACGACCTACTGGAGGGACGGATGCTCGCCAAACCTGCCGAGGACTACCCGTTCATCCTAGCAGCGACGATGGCGCAAGTCATGGTCGAGCCCGAGATCGAGGACATCTACGCAGCGGAGGACTCAACGCAATCGGAGGATGGTACCAAACCCGAGCACTCAGATTCCAGTCGGTAAGCCCACCAACACGCACGCCTGCGAGAGCATCACGGCACGGGAGCACTACGCTACGTCAAGAGACTTCACCGGAAGATGGGGCACCCCAACCCAGCCGTACTACATCGTCTACTTCAACAGGCAGGCGCCCAGGACAACATCCTGCAGTGTGCATCGGAGTATCGGTGTGAACACTGCATGGCCAGACAACGTCCACCAAAAGCACTCGTCAGCGAAGCAAGCCACCAAGTTCAACGAGATCGTCTACACGGACGTCTTCTGGATCAAGAATAGTACCGGCAAGACGGCAGTTCTTTCTATGATAGACGGGGCCACGCGCTACTGTGCACTACGTACCATCAAGACCGAGACAGCAGAGGAGCTGATCCAGGCAGTTGAGCGTGGCTGGATCAGGCAATTTGGACCCATGGGAGAATTGCGGACGGACGATGGTTCAGGTTTTGCTTCAGATCGTTTTACACAGTTCTTAGAACAGCATAGCATATCGATCGTTATCGCAGCAGGCGAGGCGCATTCTAGTTTAGGAGTGGTGGAACGTCGGCATCACGTTGTTCGAGAGGCAGTGGAGCTTCATTGTGCAGACGTTATCGACCGTGGCGCCCGGACGGCTATCACGGAGGATTTGCTTACGGATGCTTGTATTTATGTACCACACCAGGTAAATCGGTTGGCTTTCACAAAGGGCTATTCACCATGCCAGTGGGTTTTGGGAATGGATCCGACTACTACCATGACCAACTCTAGCGACAAGTTCTCACCAACGACCCTGTACCAGATGAAGGAGGACGAGGATTTCAAGAACGTGCTTGAGCGAAGGTCAATGGCGGCATCAGCGTTTATGAAGGCGGACGCCTCGGCCAAACTACGACGTCCACTGTTACGACGTCACGTTGCTCTCAAGCATGATATTGCGATCGGCCAGCGGTGCTACTACTGGAGAGAGGGCAAGACGAACAAGCTCGTCAAGAACAAAAGGAAAGGACCCGCAACCGTGGTCTTCAAGGAGATGAGGCAGGACGAGAGCGGACCGAGGATCTACTGGATCGTGCACGGCACTAACCTACTACGCTGTGCCCCAGAACACGTTCGACCAGATGTTAGCGATCAAGGATGTGTTCTCCTGGAGAACCTCACGCAAGCCAAGGAGACGCTTGGCAACATGAGCAGGACAGGAGTCACGCAGTTCCACGATGTCAGCTCACAGCAGCAACCGTTCAACGCGCCAGGCGACTCGAACATGGACATCAGCGATGACGATGGACCAGGAGACGAACCACCACCAAAGCGACAGAGGGGTACACCAACTACTGGAGCAGCAGCTTCGGCAACAACGGAGATGGCATCACCACCTCCCCAAAGTCCAGGGATTCCCAGCACTACAGAGGACGAGCAGATGGACGTTCCCGGCACACCTCAACAGGAGAGACAGCAAAGTGAAGGACAACCAGATCAAGAACCGATACATCCTACACCCCCACCCCAGCCTATGGGATCACCATTACAGCCAACAACTCCACCACCCACGCAGACTCGGTCACCACCACCTCCAGTTCAGCTGCTACCACCAGTACCAGCACCGGTTACGTTGGGACCAGCGGCGGCAGCATCGTCGAGTTCACTAACACCGGCTCCCACATCCGCTACGGCGAGTTTGGAGTTAAAGGAGAGTCGCAGGCGATTGGACGCAGCAGAAGCTTCCATCTTTACCCGACCTGGAGGAGTATATCGAGGACCACCGTTATCGGTACCAACGGCAGAGTCTCAACCAGTGGGAGACGGCAGCGCAGACAACGTGCTCGCAGCCATGCAGCTCATGCTAGAGGACAAGGACCTACCATTCGGATGGGAGTTCGACGGCAACGACGCGAAGATCAATGACATTTTCGCCGAGATCAGTACCAGGACCATGACACCACACGAGCGAGCAGCATTCATGGATGGCAAGCGGAAGGAGCGTGAAGAGTTTTTCAGACATGAAGTTTGGGAGTTTCACAAGCCTACCAGAGACGAAGACCCCAAGCGCATCCTGAAGGCCAAGTGGGTACTGAAGTGGACCAAGAACGACGACGGCACACCGAGGGCCAAGGCACGCCCAGTGGTACAAGGCTTCAACGACCCAGACGCACTCGACGGCAAGGTACCGACAGCATCACCTACAGCATCTCGATTGGGACGTCAGTTGGCAATGTTACTGGCGGCAAACAACGGATGGAGATTGTGGACAGCGGACGTGGCAACCGCATTCCTACAAGGACGACAGCAAGAACGAGTACTCTACGCCAAAATACCACGAGACGCAGCAAACCTCATGGGCATCGAACCGGACACGCTCATGAAATTGATCAAATCTATGTACGGACAAGTGGACGCACCACGACGTTGGTGGCAACGAGCAGTTGACGACCTCAAGGCCAGCGGACTCAAGCAGCACCCCCTGGACCCATGTCTTTTCGTTAGCTACGACAAGGACGGCAACTGCGACGGGCTTATCCTAGTCTACGTAGACGACATGCTCGGAGGAGGAGATCGCAGGCCCGGCAGCAACTACAGCAACATCATCGAGGCAGTCAAGAGCAAGTTCAAGTTTCGGAAGTGGTTAGAGGAGGACAAAATGGAATATTGCGGATCGGACCTACACCAGACCACTTACTGGGACAACAAGCACTCCAACGGCACTGAGATCAACATCAAGATGCAGTCCTGCGCCTCCAACCTCAAACCGATCACGATCGATCAGAAGGACGACAACAACGACCGACTACTCACGCCGAAGGAGATACGACAGCTTCGAGGACAACTTGGAGCTCCACAGTGGCCAAGTTCGCAAGCATGCCCACACACGCCAGCATCGGTCAGCATTTACCAAGGGCAGCTTCCAATGGCGACAGTGCCGACAGCAAGAGAGGTAAACAAGACGCTAAGGTTCTACAAGCAGAACGCGGACGTCGGCCTCAAGATGAAGAAGATTGGCAAGATTAGCGACATCGTGCTCGTAGCGATGACGGACGCAGCTTGGGGAGTACGACAAGACGGATCTAGTCAAGGAGGGTATGTGATCATGGCATGCCACTCGAAAGTACTGGACGGCGAGGACTCAGATTTCTGTGTCGTGGATTGGAAGTCTTTCAAGTTGACGAGGCTAGCCAGGTCATCACTATGTGCAGAATCACAAGCAGCGGCAGCTGGCATGGACGCACTAGAATTTGCGAAGCGAATATGGGCAGCCCTCATCTACGTCACCGTTGACGAGAGCACGCACTACGCAGTAGAGTCAGCACTCGTGATCGACGCGAAAGCGCTCTACGACGCAGCCAAGAAGGAGACCATCACCAGCTTCCAGGACAAGCGCACCGGCATCGAGGTATTGGCACTACGAGAACGAATGGAGGCTACACAGACGCAATGGAAGTGGGTCTCATCAGAACGGCAATAGTTATGCAGATGGTCTCACGAAGATAGCGGCAAGGCAGCTCTTCGCAGACAGACTTCGAGCAGGACGACTTCAGCTACAGCACGACCCCACCTATACGGCAGCCAAGAAAAAGACTAAGGAGGAACGACAGGAAATCATAAGGAAGAGTAAGATGGAGACATCATCAGCTACCAAGGCGAGATCACCACTCATGCAGTTGGCAGTTTTTGCGACGTGTTGTTGCAAGTCAGTGGCAACCTACACTCCAGATTTCGACTACAACACAGAGTACAAAAACTACTATGACGAGATCGCGAAGTGATCGTGGTTTTCTGGAGGCATTCTGGATGCATAATGTTTACGATGATTGGAATGGCAGTGGCAGTTCCAGCAGTCTACTATGTCTTGCAAGAGTTTGTGGAGCATCGAGACGACTCCAGTGTGAAGTACCAGACCGAGACCAGCAACAAGCGCGACACGACCGAGGAGACGGCGACGACCAGCATCGACAAGGAGACGACCATCCACCTCAAGAAGACGAGCAGCAACCACAAGCAAGTGCGACGGCGGACGGTCGGCGTACAGAGCATGGTTACCTACCGTTTGCAAAGAAATCAGTGGCGGTTTTGTCACAAGATGAACTGGTTCAAGCGTGCAGGCGAAGTGTTTCAGTGGAGACGACCGAACTCAACCAATGGCAAGACGACTACAATCAGGCAGCAGACGACAGCCCCAAGGGCTGCAGTGAGTGAGCCAACACACCAGCGCAGCTTCAGATTTTGTTTCGCTCAGTTCCATTGCCAGTTATGCAGTCCATATGTACGCAGTTGTGCATTGCATATTCAGCTTGCATATTCAGGTGTTGTATCTCAGATTGATGCAGTTTGTTTATGCAGTTTCTGCAGTTTGTGCAGTTAGAGTTTATATTTCATATCGAAAGGAGGGCTTCCCCCTGGTTGATTTAGTTTACTCTTTCACGGGTGTGAGATATACGCTGTGTATCGCGTGCTATTGTGCAGAGCATGACTGTAGCATAGCGAGCGTACCATTGCACTTTGGCCCAAACCTTTCCGGGGCCCTTGAGTCACTTAGCAGCGGTGTGGAAAACATCCTGGATGGTTTTCTTATTTCTCGTTCTTATTGCCATCAAAGACTTCGGGGGCTTTGATAAGTTCATACCTCCTCCTCCTCCTCCTCCTCCTCCTCCTCCTCCTCCTCCTCCAGTCCTCAATCCCCCACCCCTCTTGCGGGCTACGCCAGCGGAGGCGCGGCTTGGCGGTCTTGGCGTTCTCCCTCCGCGCGTCCGCGAGCCTGCCACGACAGGGGCGGGGGCCCAGGGCACAGGCGCCCCGAAGGCGTCGAAACAACAAATGATAAGGGACAGGGCCCTATACACCGACATTGTCTACGGCCTCGCACTGAAATTCGCACAAGGAAGCGGATCCTGGTGTATACGGGATCCTGGTGTATATGTTTTGTTGTTTCCCCGGGAAACCGGGGAAATAGTATACACCGAACCACTCCGACGTCGTCCCCGACCCTCAAAAAGTTCTGGGATTGAACAACAGCCCGCCAATGGTAATGTATATGTTCCAGTTTCCGAAATGAGACGGCCAGACCGTTCGCCTCTCCAGCCTCTGGAAACGCTTCGGGCGCCCCAATCTGGGGGGGGGGCAACGCCAGGGGGGGACTGGCTCGGGGGGGGGAAAGGGCTTTCATCGACCTGGAATCGACTGCAAATCGCTGGTAGATCTGCGATAGGCTCCCGATATTTAGGAAATGCGCACGATCCTGGGCGGGGTGGGCCATCGGGCCACCATCGGCGACCAATGGGCGACTGGGGGTCGATGCATCCCTGGAGCAAGCTGGCCTTCAAAAAAAACGGCTCGCGAGCAACAACCTGCACTGGAGACGGAGTCTGCACTTCCAGGGGTGCCCCGCATGTCCCGACGCGCTCCCCCCCCCACTCCGAGACCTCTGTTGCGCCGCGGCGCGGCAGAAGCACTCCGCTCGCGCGCTCTGGTGGGTCGGGCTGAGACGCGGCACTCGTCTCCAGCCCCCACGCCAAGACGCCCGACGGTCTGCCTGTTCCCACCCGCGGCCCCGCGGGCCTCCACCACTCCTCGGGGGGGCCAGGCCCCGTCTCGGATCCGCTGCTCGTGGCCCCCGGCACCCGAGGGCCAGCCCCCCACGGCCAAGATGCAGGGAGACCGCTCTCCCTGCCCGCCTCCGGGCATGCCCGCCGTGGCGACGACAACCTTTTCCCAACACGTCTTGGCGGCGGGGGCGCCGAACAGGGGCTTGCTTGCACCGTGAATGCGTGAGCCGTGTGGCACGAGCTGTCTTGCGCGACCCGTGTGGCGCAGGCGGTGCCGTGCAAGCTTCGTGGTGTGCGCGGTGCGACCCGAGTGTGCGGGGGCAGGCTATGTGAAGTGAGCGGTGCAGTGCAAGCTGCGTGGTGCAACCGCCAACCCAGGCGAAACCCCGCCGCACCCATCCAGCGAACGGGCGCCCACGAGGCGCCCACGAGCCGCCCAGCAGGCGAAGCTTCGCCACAGCACCCCCGCCCGGTGCACGGGGCGCCCACGAGGCGCCCACGGTCGCCCACGGCTGGGCGAAGCCTCGCCACACATCCGTCCGATGACTTACGATTTCCGGGAGGTTTTCACTTGCCATCTACGGGCGGGCGGAGGCACGGCAAAGGTGGAGCACTGCTACGTGGCGCAAGGTAGGATTAGCCGCTGCGCCGTCCGCTGCCCGCTCAAGGAAGAGGAGGAGGAGGAGGAGGAGGAGGAGGAGGAGGAGGAGGAGGAGGAGGAGGAGGAGGAGGAGGGGTCCGCTCAGTCAGGTGCGGGGTGCAGGGTGGGCGGGTGGCAGAAGAGCGCGGCCTGCTCGAAGCCAGAAGGCCGCGGAGGGGGAGGTGGGGAGGAGAAAGAGCGAGAGGAGAACGAGCAGGGCAGCGGGCCGAGGAGTCACCGAGCTGCGGGATGGGCGGAACGGCGTCCGGGGGCAGGTGTTGCCGCGGGGGCTCGACCGCTGGAACCGCCTCCGACGCATGGGCCGTTGTTGGGCAAATGGCGGCACGGCTGGCAAGTTTGCGCCTCGTCCGCAGTGGGGACAAACAGTGCGAAGCACAGTTGAAACGCGTGCTCGGTCTGCCGAGTGCACGGGCGAATGCAGTTTCGCCAGGTAGAGCTCGACTGCAATCGGTGATGGGACGATTTTCTGCTGGGTGGTTGCTGGCTGCACCGACGACAGATGCCCTGAAATTCAACAACTCGGAGTTGCAATGCGCCGTGCGTCGACGACTGGGGATCGCAGTGCAGTTCGAAGGACGCGACCCCCATAGGCATGCTTTTCTGACCTCTGGGGTGGGGGGGCAATGGAACACTTAGGCAATCCCGCTGCGCAGCCGACGCCGGCTCGAACTCATCGTGACGCGCCTGAACGTGGACCGGGGACTTCCGCTGTTCTATGATGCTACTGTGGTGTTTCCCATTACGGCCAGTGGCCGAGCTCGACCTGGCACCTGCAATGCGGGTGGACGTTTATCGAGAAGGGCAGAAACGGAAAACAGCACCGCATACGAAAAGGCGATCATCAGCGGCTTAGGGTCGTTCCAGTCGCTTGAGGCTGAAGTGTGCGGCCGCCGGAGTGCGCAGCTAGTAGACTGGCTCCCAAGCTGGCGGCAGCACATGCTCGTACGTCCCACCCTCGGATTCGACGCGGTACTGCTCGAGGACTGCTGCACAAAAACTTGGGCCCCTGGGTGAACCTCGGCTTCTCGCTCTGGACCAGCTCCTGGACATCCCCCCCGACGCGTCCCCGACCAGCCTGCCGAGCTGCGCCCAGCCGTGGCCACGAACGCTGCCCAAGGGCTTTCGGGGCACACTTCGGCTGTCCGGCAGCCGTCCGGGACGATGCCGCTGATGGGAGCCACCCCCGGAACCACCTCGAATATGCTACGAGTACTTCAAAAAACTGTGCATGCCCCCCCTGCTTTTGAGCCTACGCATCGACGAGCCCCGACGGCACAAGAAAAAGCAAGAACCCTGGCGTGCATCCAAACCGCGCCTGCCCGACCCGAGGCGCTCCGGGCCCCCGCGGCGGCCCCGAGTGCCATCGCCATCGCCGTCGTCGTCGTCGCCATCGTAGTCGTCGTCGTCGTCGTCGTCGTCGTCGTCGACGTCGTCGTCGTCGTCGTCGTCGTCGACGCCGCCGCCGCCGCCGCCGCCGCCGCCGCCGCCCACCACGCGCGCCTCGCGCTCGGGCAGCGCGGGTGCGCGCCGCGCGCGGCGGGCCGCCCCTCGGCCGAGGCCGGCGCGGGCTCCATATGGCCGGCCGCGAGGGCGGCCCAGGGCACGGGAGGCGCAGCGCCAAGAGCCTGCCTGCGGGCGCGAAGGATACGCGATATGCGCGGGGCACCACACTCAGCGCCCCTCCCCTCCTCCAGCCTCCTTCCCCCCTCCTCTCCTCGGGGGGATGGGGGGGGGGGGGAGGGAGGCGGTGGTGGCGCATAGTTCTGGGCCCCTGTCAGTCTGATGGGCCCCAGAGAGCAGCTCAGAGTCTCCGGAACGACCCCAGAGGCCTGCAAGACGTCCCAGCCACGCCGAGAGAAATCACTAGGACGCTACGCAACGCCTCCGAACGCACCCCCGAAAAACCCGAAGCAGACAACATGGTCGATACCTGCAATTGTTTATGTTCCACGGGGCACGCGTCGTCATCTGTACGGGCCTCCTGCAGCTCGATCGTTATGACAGACCTTCGGGAATTCCGCCGAGCCCTGCGTGCCAGGGATGCAAACGCGAGCTGATACTCTGCTGCGCACCAGCGAAGCATCCAGAGAGGTTTCCAACAACCCTGCAAGAGCTCCCCACGAAGCCTCCAAGAGGCCCCCAAAGACTCCCACAAGGGACCGGCTTCGCGACCCAAATTGACCAGCCAAAACGCGAAGTAAAATACAAAAGGGTCGGCGGATGTGGCTTAAGCCTGTATAGTCCACGTCCGGAAGTGACGTGCTGAGCGGCAGCGTTTTCTGCGGAGGCGATAATGCAACGTACCCAATGTATCCAATTGTTGCATAATTGCCACATGTTGTGTTGCGTTACATTATTATGTCTCTCCCCGACCCCCCCCCCAGGGGCTACGCCACATCCGTCGACCCAAGATGGAGACCCCCTCCCGGGGCTCAATACCCCACCGAAGCCTATAGAAAATCTATGATATCAACCTCTTGGGCCTCTTGGGTGGCCACGAGGGCGCCAAGACGGATCAAGATGGGCCCAAGAGGGCCCAAAAAGCCCCAATGACGGCCCAAGAGGGCTCCAAGAACGCCCCCAACTGCGCCTCCGGAAGCCAAAATCATTGATTGTCCGATGGTTTGGGCGATATTTCAGCGTTCTCGCCTTTGCGGCCAAAAACAACTTCCAAAATCGCCCCGGAACAACCCAAAAAGTCCCCAAGAGGGCCCCGAGACGGCCCAAGAGGGCCCCAAGACGGCCCACAGAGGCCCGCAAGACGGTCCAAGAGGCCCCTAAAACGGCCCAAGAGGACCCCAAGAACGCCCCAAGGCGGCCGCGAGAGGCCCCCAAGACGGCCTCCGAAGGGACGAAACGGCAGAACAAACGCCCCAAGACGGCCCAGGACGACCCCAAGAGGCCCCAAGAGGCCCCCAAGAGGCCCCCAAGGGGCCCCAAGAAGCCCCCAAGAGGCCCCCAAGAAGTCCCCAAGAAACCTCCAAAAGGCCCATAGAAGCCCCCCAAAGCCCACACAGCGACTGGAGTGTACTGTCATTTTTCCCCCGTGGGCGAAGTCCGGCGCAGCGCCAGCCAGGTGGAAGTTGGTCACGACGGCGCCCATGATTAGAGCTGGCGCTGGAAGGGGATATGGGGAGGGAGTATGAAAAGGAGGGAGGGGGGAGAGGCCCCAAAGACGTCCCCAAGAGGCTCAAAGAAGCTCCCAAGAGGCCTCCAGGAGGCCCCCAAGAGGCTCCCAAGAGGCCCCGCGAAGACGTGACCAAGACGGTACAGGATGGCCCCAAAAGGGCCTCCCCCCAAAAAAGAACGCCCCAAGACGGCGCCAAGAGGACCTCCAAGAGCGCTTCCAGAAACAAGAATCATTGATTTCCCATGGGGTGTTGAAAGATTTTGGCGTTCCACGTCCGGAAATGACGTGCTGGGCGGCCGCGACATGGCCACCAGCCCCGCCCCCACTGGTGCCAAACGGCGAAAAAGCCCCCCAAGACGGCCCAAGACGCCCCCACGAAACCCCCGAGAACCCCCAAAACGACTTCACTGTACGTACTCCAGACGTGCACCCCGCGAAGCGAGAGGAATCCACGTGCGGAGGTGACGTGTTGCCGGAGTCAGGTCCGCGGAGGCTATAATGCAACGTATCCAATGTATCCAATGATTGCATAATTGCTACATGTTGTCTTGTGTTACATTATTATGTACTCCCCCTACCCCCCCCCCCAGGGGCCACCCCACTTCCGCCGACCCAAAGTGGCCCCTCCCTCCTGCGCCTCAAAAACTTGCAAAATCAAGCAAAAACCTATGTAAAATCTATGATTTGGCCCCCGTCGCCCTCTTGGGGCCCCACGAAGGCGTTCAGACGGCCCAAGTTGGCCTCTGAACGGGCCAAGACGGCCCCAAGACGGCCCGACATTGCCCCAAGAGAGCCCAAGAAACCCCGAGGATGGCCCAAGAGGGCCCCACGAGCGCCCACAACTGCGCCTCCAGAAGCCAAACTCATAAATGTTCCTATGGTGTTTTTTACGTTCTCGCCTTTTTTCGGCTCTCAGAGGCCCATGACGGCCCAAACAGCTTCCAAAATGGTCCCATAAAGGCCCCAGAGGCTCCGAAGATGGTCTCAAAACGGCCCAAGAGGGCTTCACGAGGCCCCCAAGACGGTCCAAAAGGCCCCCCAAACGGCCCAAGAGGACCCCTAATAGAGACCCAAGGCGGCCGCGAGAGGCCTCCAAAAGGGCCCCCCAAGGGGCGAAACGGCGCAAAAAGCGCCGCAGGCCAGTCGAACACGCCCCCAAGAGACCCCAAGAGGCCCCCAAGAGACCCCCAAGAGGCCCCAAGAAGCCCCCAAGAGGCCTCAAAAAAACCTACGAGAAGCTCCCAAGAGGCCTCAAAGAAACCTCCAAAAGGCCACACAACGACTGGACGGTAATGCCGTTTTTTTCCCGCTGGGCGAACCGCGGTGCAGCGCCAGCCAAGTGAAATTT